CGAACTTCGCGAGACAATTCAAGCGATCAAATTTGACATCTGATGACGAGTGATTGTGACCCCATCGCAACAACGATAATTGATTTCATAATCCACAATCCCATATTTAAATCCAATAGATCTATAGCAGAGGATAACAAACTAATTCATTGGATGGGCAATCTTGGTCCTCTCTCCTTCGAATCATTAGTTTAATTGATCCGAATTGTTGATCAATCCTCAGAAATACAAGGGATGGGTATGCTATTGGTTGACATAAATATGTGAGACCAATAAAAGTGTGGGTAGCTAATCAACTCTTTGTCAATTAGCGGCGATCAGTACTTTAAAACCCGATAATTTTTTATTCGAAATGAAAATTGATAGGGATTAAATCGGTTTTAAAATAATGTGGGCTCTGACTTGGTTCCCTCTAAAACCCTTGTTTTACATTTTTTTTTTTTTATACCGAACTAATATTTCTTCAAATCCCCCCTAAATCCCCATCCACCAAAGACCGTTTAATTTTAATTAATTAATTTAACAATTTTCTTGATCACCAATTTAGACTGATCAAGACCGAATGCAAGTCGCATATCCAATTACCATCGATGGGGTGAACCACCCCACCGATCCGGTTTATGAAGTAGTTGGGGGTCACCCTTTTTCGGGCGTATGTCCAAGTTCCAACCATTTTAGGGTGGGTATAAGCAAAATAGTGAGTGTGCAGAACACTGCCCCATATAGTCATCCTGCCACGCGGAAGAATCTGACAGGGTTATTTTCTGAGTAATGTATAGGACGCAATGCTGTGGGCCCATCGGTTGCGTAGGAGACGTGGCACTTTGTGACACGTGGAACGACGCTTTCTGTGCTTGTTTGCTGACGTGGTCGTAGGGAACAGCTGGCAAAAAAAAGGTCGTGATGAATTTCGGGAAGAAAAAGTATTCTTAGGGACCAAAATACCCTTTACAAACCTTAAATGGCAGAAGAAACTTTAAAATTAGCAACTGACACGTGTGCTTACAGCTTGCAAAATAACGAAACTACCCTTTATGATGCAAAAAGTGCAAAGCATTTGGCTGCATCCTTGAGAGGGAACGGATGGCTGCAGCCCTGTCAAGATTGGTAAAGCCTCACCTTCAACTCACAAAAAATTGTCGTTTTGTAATAGAAAAATTTCAAATCGATTGTCTCGATCTTGACCCTGGTTGTAAAGAAAAAAAAATTTAAAGCCTTAAAAATAGTGTATATTATAATTAAAGTAATAATCTCATAAGGCCTTCCCACATTCATTTATGTAGGATCTCAAAAAATCATCATTAAATTCACATAGGTGTGAAATTTGATTTTTCTAGAGATATGTGTCAAATTTAATGGTGATCTTGTGAGGTTTTACACATATGGGTGTTAGAGGGTCCTATAATATCATTACTCTTTATAATCATAATATATTATTCAAGCTATCCATTTTTAAGTGTTAACATATTTGTAAGATTTGTACCATTTTTGAGCTATAAATTTTATAGTTGGTGGTAAAAATTGATTTTAGAGCCAGAGAGTGCCCATCTCAAAAATACTTTTGAAGGATTTTTTTTTTATGTGGGGTAATTCAACATGGAAAACATGCCCCTACCGATTTTTTTCATATAGATTAGGGAGTTAACATTGTTTAAGACATCAATGGTTGGTGTTAGCAAGATTGGGAACCATAATGTAATAACTAGGTATGAGGTGCTATCACCCCGATCCAACCCCTTTCTTGAAAAGGGTAATTAAGGAAAATTTAGAACGTTCATCATCATCAAAAGTATGCATACAAATCAATGCGTTGCTTAAAGCAAAGCTTTTATCTTTTTTTACATAAGACCCATGCCGAATATTTAAGTTGTATCCTAAAACGAAATTCAATCCATTGTAAAGAAAACATGGGTAAGGGCAAGAGTTTTGGAAACGGCACTAATTTAAACCAAAAATTTGGTGAGATATTAAAGGTTTCATGTGCATCGCACGTGAAAAGGGTATCCAATTGACACGTGTGACAAGAGTTGGGTCTCGCATGTGGTGCGCCTTTTCTCTCCGTAGAAAATTACTTACACGTGCGACAAAGTGCTTGGGACCTCACGTGAAGTGTGAGACCCAAGGGAATCCTCCATATGCCCATGCACTCGCGCCCTTTCTCACTAATATATATCCAAATATCTCATTTTCTTATGGCCAAGATATATGAATGCCGACACATGAATGCCAGGTCAAGGAAGTTGACATATATTGCTACACTCTCCATCCTTTGCCCATGATCTAAATGGGCTAAATTTTGTTTTCACCAGTGTTTCAAAACTCGAAATCGTTTCATGGGCCAGGGTCTAACTCGGATATGCATTAGTACTTCTGAGCAAATCAAAACTTGAGATCATTCCTTTGGCCAAGGTCTGATTTGGATCTGCCTCTAAACTTCTGAGCAAGATCGGAGTATGTTTACGAATAAACGAAAATTAATTGTTCAGCTGGTGATCCAAATCCGACTTGGCGATTTTCCGATCACTAGATGAGATTTAGGCAAATTTCAATCATGTCCAAAAGACACACCTTCCAAACATGAGAACGACCTGTCCATGCATACTAATCGGATTATCCCTCTCCTCTCCTCTCCTCGATGACTCTTTTATTCGAGTGTTTATCTCCTCTGCTATGATGACTCATTGCCATGTATTTTAGTGGTAATATAAAAACTAGCCAAAAGAAGTTAATGGCTGAATTGTCACTTCAACCTCTATTATTATGTGGGTCTTTATCGGTTTCAAGTAGGTTGGTGTTTATGAATTTCAAGTACAAAAAAATTAGAGAAACATTCCCCCAAAAAGCAGCAACAAGTAGATGCCGCAGTTTCTGTAAGGTCGAGGCCTAATGCAAAAACTAAAGTCTCGCTCGAAATCTGGTTCGGAAAACACTACGGTCATGGGAAATCCCCAAGCTAGAAATCTAGTTCAAAAAACACTTCGGCCACGGCCATCGGAAATCCCCAAGAAAGCTAAAAAATCTATTCTTATGATTATAAATTTTGTAGCTAAAAAAATAGTATAGATCTTGTGGATTCATAAACACTTGAAAACAAGCGATCTAGATAATGTGTCACAATCAGTGTTTAAAAAAACGCCGAGTCGTCTCGGGAATCGCCATGGACGGATCAAATCGGCGAAAAAACGGGAATCGTCCGGTTCTAGAGAGAATCGGACAGTGACTCGCCGATTCACTGTACAGAATCGGCGAGTCTCGTACGGTATTTTTTTTTTTTTTTGTATTTTTTGTATTTGTAATCTATGATAGATTTTTTTGTAATACTTGAACGATTTTTTTGTAATCCATGATCGAATTGTTTTTTTTTCTTTTTTGTAATCCATGATCGAAATGTTTGTTTTTTTTTCTTGTAATCCATGATCGAATTTTTTGTTTTTTGTTTTTTTTTGTAACCCATGATAGAATTTTTGTAATCCATGATCGAATGTTTTGTAATCCATGATCGAAATGTTTGTTTTTTTTTGTAATCCATGATCGAAATGTTTGTTTTGTTTTTTTGTAATCCATGATCGAATTTTTTGTGTTTTGTTTTTTTGTAACCCATAATAGAGTTTTTTGTAATCCATGATCGAATTGTTTTTTCTCTTTTTGTAATCTACGATCGAATTTTTAGTTTTTTTTGTTTGGTTTTTTTTGTAATCCATGATCGAATTTTATGTAATCCATGATCGAATTTT